AGTTGAACAGATGTTGCATCTTGTCACCTTGCTAGTGTCCTTATTTCAGTGAAGAATCTTTTTTATTTTTGTATGTATACAGCCATATTGCTTGACAACAAGGCCAATACTTTTACTTCCTTTTAAATCCTGTATAACATTCATAATATTTTTCTTTCTTTATTATGCTGTAAAAGCTTTTAGAACAATGCCAGGTGAAATGTTAATAGTAGACCTTGTCTCATTTTTCAATATTCCTTTAAGAGTCTTTCTCTCTCTCTCTCTCTCTCTCTCTCTCTTTCTCTCTCTCTCTCTCTCTGTGTGTGTGTGTGTGTAGACTTAAAATATTTCATTGTAGGCTTTTTAAAGATTTTTTAAATGTTGTGAATGAATGTTGCTGTTATAAATAAATGCTTTTTCTTGGCTGGTGAGATGGCTCAGTGGGTGAAAGCACTTGCTGCCAAGCCTGACAACCTAGTTCAATCCCTGGAACCCACATGGTGGAGGGAGAGACCTGGCTCCTGAAAATTGTCCCCTGTCTCCCATGAACACATTCATGGAGTAAAATAAAAGTCATAAATCCCTCTCATCACCTGTTGGCCTTATAATTTTTCTCTTTTATTGTATTATTGAGGTGAATTTAATTGACTAATTTTAAAAGTAAAATAAAGTTTGTTTCTATAATAAACCCCACCTACTCATCATATGTTATTGTATTTGTGTATGATTAGGTGATTCTTAAAATTTTTCAAGTATGTTTAGAAAGACCTAGCTGTAACTCTGCTGTTAGTTCGAATTCCAAGGTCCCTGCTGGCTGTACAAGATAAATGTGGACCATTTTTAAAGTTCTTCTTTCCTTTCCTTCCCCTTCCCTCCCTCCTTTAAAAAATACTTTTTCAAATTTCTCCATTTACTCTGTCAAGATAAACACCAGGATTCCTGAATGTGCTGAGGAGGTCAGGGTCACAGCTCAGTCACCAAGCTCATGATCACCTGGTGTACGAACACGTGGACCCCAACTCTCATCTGCTTTTTGCTACTTTCAGAATTTCAAATGGAAACAACTCAAAATTCCTTGGTTATTGTGTCATTTAATTAATTAATTAATTATTGATTAACCGTGCCAGTTTAATTATTTAACTAATTAACTGATTAATTAATTAACTAATTAGGTCAGCTTGACTCAAGCTTAGGTTATCTGGGAAGAAGAAACCTCAGTTGTGACAATGCCCCCATCACCTTGGCCCCCAGCCAACCTGTGGGCATTTTTTGATTGATAACTATTGAGGGAGGGCCCAGCTCTCTGGTGGACAGTGTATTCCCTGAGCAGGTGGTCCTTGGGTAAATATAAAAGCAAGCTGGGGAAGTCACAAGGAACAAGTTACTAAGCAGTGTTCCTTGGTTGCCTCTGCTTCATTTCCTGACTTTAGGTCCCCGCCTTGGCTTCTCTTGATGATGGGCTGTAACCTGTAAGCCAATAAACCCTTTCATCCCTAAGTTGGGTTTGGTCAGCGTTTTATCACAGTGTTTTATTCCCCATCCATGCTGACATCCTAAACAGTTCATTGGCAGGAAATCCAAGGTCAAAGTTTATCTTCCTATGTGTCTCAGTTTTGTTTTCAGCCTTCTGTATGGTGTGGCTGCTTCAAGGGCAAGGGTGCCGGATCTCTTCCTTCAGGGACTGTGGTCCCTCCAGACCTGACTGACTGCACCGAACTCAGAGCATCATTTTCTGTTCCCAGATCTGGGAGAGAGTGTGCTGACTTAGAATCGACTGGGGAGGGGCAGAGACCCTCTACACAAGAATCTTCCCTTTGGTTGCAAGAATGATGAGCTCTGCCTCTCCATTTCTTCCCTTTGGTTTTCAAGGTCCTTTCTAGAAATAGGCCATACCATACCCAACCCAGCATGCAAAGGCATTGCTGGAGTTGGGAGTGTGGAGACCCTTGCTTGAGACACACTGAAGCCATCAGGGGCTCTAGATAGTTGCCCTGGTCACATGGCTCTACTTCAGTTTTCTCTGTCTCTCTTTTCCACACACTTCTTGGGGTCCTGCTTCATATCTGAGAACAGCAGCCATGTAAGGAGACTCTGACCTCTAAAGGTCAGGCTGCTGCACACGTCCCTAAAATACCCCTCCCTATCAAGAGTGGGGTTACTTGGTGAGGGCCGAAGAGGCAAAGATTACCATCAGATACCACCAGAGACTGAGTTTTAAAATATTTACTGAGGTTAGAGTGATTTATTGAAGCCTACTTTATACACAGTGAATGCACTCTCTTTGGGACCTAGACAACAAGAGTTGACAGATGTATATAGTCATGTAGACATGGCCACAATGGAGATACAGACCACTGCCATTTTTGTAAAAAGTGTCACGGACCCTGCTCAGTTTGTCTCTCTCAGTCCTCTTCTCAACAAAGGGTATGTTGTTTGGAATGGACTGTCTCCTCAGAAGGCAACACTCACCTGCCCTCTCTTTCTTTAGATGGGAGCCTCAGGAGATTGTAAGTTCAAGACTGGTGGGTGGTGTTGAATAAAACTTAGCCCATTTGTGAGATTCTGGTTGGAGGGGAAGCTGGCAGAAACTTACATCCAGGGGCAGGGGGAACTGGAGCTGAGAATGGGTGAGAGGCTGGACAGAGGGGCAACATCAGAAAGTAAGATGAAAAATTAGTCTGCAGGCCTCAATAGTATTGTGTCAAAAACAGCACCTGGCTGAAGAAGTTCTGATGGAACTGAGAAAAAGTGGGTCCAAAGTCTTGCTGATTCAGTGTGTGCACCTGTACTTGTATATGTACTTGAGTGAGTGTGCTAACATGAATGTTTGTGTGTATGTGTATGCATGTGTGATAGTACATATGTAAGCACTTGAACATGTCTGCACAAGGGTGTTGGGAGCTGCAAAGTACCTCGCCCAAAAGATGGCGCCGGTTTCCGCCTTCCGCCAGCCCGACGGCGAATGCTCTCTGTGGTAAACAACTCCTAATTGGGTAAAGGCCATGTATCATCTTAATTCTGCTTGGAGACAACCTATCCTGGAGCACCACTGAGGGTTAGGTGATTGGTAGATGTAGACTATATCAGGCCCCGTCTTCCTCTACCCGGGGCCGCCATTCCCTGTAAAGCAAGGTTCCCGAATAAAACTGTGTGAAGAAGATTCCTTGGTGTTGCATCGTTCTTGCTGGTCAAGGGTGGACGCGACACATGGGTTTATGTGTGCATGAAGGTATGTGTGGATTCATAATCTGTGTCAAGATACTGGAATATCTGGAGACATGTTGGCTCACATTTTTAGTGAGGTGGGAAAACTTGGAGTCTCTCTCTTCATGCCTTCAACCTCCCTGGACTGACTCACCAACAAACCCAGGCTGGAGTTGACTACAGGAGTATGCAGTGGGCTGCAGCAGCATGCAGTGGGCTGACTTCCAGCTGCAGGTTCATGAGCTGCTAACCTCTGGGTGCAAAGTATGTCCCAATTCTTGATAGTGAAGGAAGTGTGAACCTCTTTGTCTGCTCTCTTCTGCTCTCCCAAGATGTTACCACTGCATGGATGGGTGGCCTGCCATCCCCAATGCATGGAAGAGTGGCTTTTCCTCATCAGTGCATGGAAGGGTGGCCTTATCTTCAGACTCTTTCTTCTCCTAGGGGTCAGGAGATGTTTGCAGGTCCTGGAAATTCATGGTGCTCTTGAGTTTGAGGAAATCTTACAATCACTCCCACACAGAAACATCTTTCTATGTTCTTCTACAGGTGCTGTCTGTGGATGCTGGCCTGAGGAAGGGACTCAGCACACTGTGTTTTTATGGATTGGTAGCCACATGCCAAATTATAGAAAGAGAGCATAAAATGAGCCCAATGTCTCCCTCATGGCCTGATGGTATTGCAGGTGTGGGCACTTGCCCAGAGCAAGATCTTTGTTTGTTTGTTAGTTTTTTTTTTTTTTTTTTTTTGAGACAGCGTGTCTCTACATAGCCTTGGTTGTCCTGGAACTTACTCGTAGACCAGGCTGGCCTCAAACTCACAGAGATCTGTCTGTCTCTAAGTTCTGGGATTAAAGGTATGTGCCACCACCGTCCATCTCAGAGCAAGATCTTGTAGGAGGCTCTTGGCACCAAGGTATCTGGGACTGATTGCTTCCAACATGTTTAGCCTGAGGCTTATGGCCACATGCACCAAGGATAGCTGTGAATACAGCTGATACAACACTGCAAATTTACTGTAAAGATTGAGATAATGATGGTGGTGGTGATGGTGGTGATGATGACTGCTACTCAGTTGCATGATTCTCAGGTGTGAACTGGGCAGATGGCATTGTCATGATGCACACCCTCTGCAACACCCAAATGGGCGGCTTATCTGAGCCTGAGTGCTTTACCAAAAGACTTTTGAGCTCTTCCATTAAGAGGTGCAGCTGGTTGGCCACCTTGAATCTGGACTCACCTCTGGCCTTTGTAGTCCAGTAGCAAGTGAGGAAGTCAGGTTGCACTCATGACCCTGGCTCTTAGCAACCTGGTGTATATATCTTCTCTAAAGTATCTGTCTGTGTGACCAGTTGGCCTAGTCTGCAGAGCAGGCAGGTCCACATGCAGAAGAGCTCATTGCTCTCAGCCAACACCACGCTAGACAAGTCGATTGTCCATTTGCTCCCAACCATGAGAGACAGTCCAGCTTGGATACAGACACGTACCTATGCCCAGGGAAGAACTTCAGACTGCTTGGTATGACTCTGGCTTTCTCTCTGGGCAGGCCTTCTCTGTGCACAAGTGCCAGATAGGTGCAAGACTTGGACTTTCTGGAGGCCCAGGGACCAACTAGCCCTTCAAAGAGTCCCTGGTGATAGTTTCTCCCCCACTCTTTCCCAGCCTCCCAGCTTAAACCATCTCTTGTTAGAGGCTGCAAGAACTGTTGAAATGATGTCTATGACTTTCATAACATTACACAGGGTGTGTGGGAAGAACGCAGAGAGGTCCTGCACTGTGACTTATTTTCTTCACACCATTTGCTTGGGTTGGTTGTAGGAAGACCTGCTGAGCTGAACTCCTCTGAAGCTGGGGAAAGAATGGGCATGCCAAGTGGAAACAGCAGAAGCAAGATGCCCATAGAGAGGAGTGGGGAATGAAGAGGAGAAAACTCCATTCAGACGGAGAGAGTGCTTCCGAATTAGTTTGAGAATTCGTTTTTGTTGTTCTTTCATTTATCTGCTTAACCTGAGTCACACTGTGTAAAAATAAAATCCATGTGTGTTTAAGGTATACAACACAGAGTTTTTCAAACGAAATTTATTATTTTGCTAGTTATTATTATTATTAACTATTAGTGTGTGTGTATGTGTGGTCTTGGGATTGAAAACTCAGGTCATCAGGCTTGGTAAAAAGCTCCTTCATCCACTGAAGATGTTGCCAGCCTCAACATGATGTTTTGAGATGAATACTCATATGTACATACACATGTACATGTATGTGACAGACATACATATGCATAGTGAAATGAGTACTGGCCAAGCCAGTGAGCACACTACTCACTATGTAGTTACTTGTCTTGGGTGCAAGCACCTGGAGCCTACACTTTCAGGAAACTTCCAGTATACACTACAGTGTCATTTAGTATTGAGCTCATGCAGGAGATTAGAGCTGTACACGGACTCATCCCATGGTACTATAATTCTGTACAGTTTGATTGACACCCTCCCATGATGTCAGCTCCTGGGAACCAGCATCCCACTGTCCACTTTTGCAAGACTCATATTATTAGATTCATAGGCAAATGACATCATGGAGTATTTGTCTCTTTGTGTCCAGCTTATTCACTTAACAAGGTGTCTCCAGATTCATCTATGCTGTAGCAATACCCTTCCTTTCTAAGGTCTAGTGACACTTTCTTATTTGTACCACAGTTGGATTATCACTTTATCTGTTAAAGGTTAACCCAATTTTCTCACTACATAGCCCAGGCCTAGGACTTGAACTACTCATTCCTTTGTGTTTCAAGTACTGCTCATACCCTGGCTACTGTGAAAGATGTAGCTATAGATAAAGAAGACCAGGCATTGTAGAAGACACAGATTTCCCCCTTTTTTATATACCCCCAGACGTAGCATTTCTGGGTCATAATGTGCACCACCACGGCTCACCCCTCTCTCTCTCTCTCTCTCTCTCTCTCTCCCTCCCTCCCTTCTTCCCTCTCTCCCTGTCTTTCTTTCTTTCTTTCTTTCTTTCTTTCTTTCTTTCTTTCTTTCTTTCTTTCTTTCTTTCTTTCTTCCTTCCTTCCTTCCTCCTTCCTTCCTTCCTTCCTTCCTTCCTTCCTTCCTTCCTTCCTTCAAGTAGTTCCATTTTTAAAATTTCAATGAAACACTATGCCCTTTCTCCTCAATGGTTGCATTAATTTACATTTTCACCAACAGTTACCAAGTGTTCCCTTTCTTCCATACACTCCAACACTTATGATCTTATCTTTTTTATAAAACCCATCCTACCAGACTTGATATGATGTCTCAGAGTGTTTCAGAGTGGTTTTGATTTGAATTTTTCTGATGAGTGATTTTGAGCATTTTTCTATACCGGTTGGCAGTTTTCTATGTCTTTTTTGGAAAAATATCGATTTGCTACTTTTGATCATTTGTTAATCAGATTTTATTTTCATTGAATTGTATGAATTTCTTGTGTGCTTGAGATATCAAATAGGTAGTTTGTAAATATTTTCTCCTAACCAATAGGCTGCCTTTTCACTGTGTTGATTATTTCCTTTGCTGTATAGAAGACTTATTTAATTGTTTTTGAGGCAGGGTCTCCTGAGTCAAAGGTATCATGTATCTCTAACTCTCCTCTTCCTCCTCTTTCTCTTCCTCTCTCTCCATTTCCCTTCCCTTCTCCCCCACATCTGCTAAGACAATCTTACATAAAGTGACTGTCAGTCTTCTCCCAGTGTGACAAAACATCTGAGAAAATCATTCAGAGAGAAGAGAATCAAGTCATGGCTTCAGAAGTTTCAGTTCATGATCACACAACCCTGTTACTATAGGCTTGTGACAGCTCAGTCCATTATAGTCCATTATGATGGCTGGGAGGGAGGGAATAAAGGAAAGACAGACAGAGAGAGAGAGAGAGAGAGAGAGAGAGAGAGAGAGAGACTTTAAGGTTCCAGTATCATCCTCAAAGACATATCTCCCAAAGCCCTAACTTCCTTCTGCTAAGACCTTCCTCTTAATGGGTCTATCACCCAATATAGGCTGTTGGTCAAGCCTTTCCCATGTGGGCCTTTGGTGTATATCCTATATCCAAATTATAGTAGCAATTATAAGGGAGTGGAATCCAGTCACCTTAGCCGTAGTCTGCCGCTCTGAAGCATACCACCTGCTCCTCTGTGTTTCAGTGGATGTCACTTAGGGTGTGTCTGCTGAATAAGGTCTGTTGCAACAATTCAGTTCTGCCCTAGCAGCACACAGACAGCCACAGACAATCCATAGAACAGACAAATGAGCATAGTTAAGTTTGAACTTTACTTGCAGTAATTGCCTAGGGGCCAGCTTTCACTAATGGACTCTAATTTGCCAACCCTGAAATTTTACAGCATAGCAACACTGTTGATCTGAACCCATGAGATTTTTGCAAGGGATTGGTCATGACCTTATAATATCCACTTTATGATAAACTTACAGATATTTTTCCCCCTGGAAGCTGTATTTTACTTGAGCAACTGGTAGATTTTATCTCAGGAGCACTGCAATTCGAAGTTATTGAGGGGTGGGGAGATGGTTCAGTGTAAAGGCATATGCTTCTGAGCCTGATGATTTATGTTGGATCCCCGGGACCCACACAGTGGAAGGGGAGAACTGACTCTCTTAAGCTGTCCTCTGACCTCTACACATGCACTGTGGCACTCTCTCTCTCTCTCTCCCAGCGCACACAACACACACACACACACACACACACACACACACACACACACACACACACACACGAACACATGCACAAACACACACACACACAAACACATACACACAAACACGTGTGCACATACACGTGCACACGCACACACACACACACACACACACACACACACAGGCACACACACATGCATGCTCACATGCTCCCTCCCACATAATTTATTTAAAAAGTTGTCAAGGTAAAACACACTGAGAAAAACAATATCGAGTGTATATTTTTCAATTTATTTGGGTTTCTTCTTCACCTTGGCCATAGGAAGCTCAGTATCGTTGAAGTAAAGCCATCCAATGTTGAAGACACGGTCTTCATTTTCTGTCTGTGTCTTAATTTTTCTTACTTAACCCACAACTCAATTCATGCTTCCCTGCCACATCATAGTGTTTGTCTTAAAACCTCTCTGAATAAGACTGGGAAAATGTTTTGTTTAAAAATTTTATTTTTATGTGTATGGGTATTTTGCCTGTATGTGTATCTGTGTACCACATGCATACCTGGTGCCCTTGAAGGTCAGAAAAGGCATTGGATTTCCTGGGACTGGACTTATAGACAGCTATGAGCTGCCATGTGGGTGCTGGGAATGGAACCCAGGTCCCCTGCAAGTTCAGACATTGCTTTTAAGTACTGATCCACCTCCCAACCTCAGGAAAATGTTTTATAAAATAATAAAGCATTGACTTTTGGTATGTGTGAGGTAATGGGGGCGGAGCTGCGATGGGCAGGGATCATGGCTCAGTGCTTCTGTATCCATGAAATCACAGGCTGTCTCACAAGGGTGCTATTGTGCCTTGTGTGTCTGTGGTGACTTCATTGCTGGGCTGTCTCCTTCCAAGCTTTCTTGCAGCCCAGGGAAGGCTTCTGTAGAATGGTTCTTTGGTGAACCCAGGTCCCTTTTCAGTCTCTCTGGAGCAGGTTACGGCAGTGCCTGAATGGCTAGTGTGTTGCCTTTGTCAGCAGGGCTGGTGGACCCTAGGTACCCGAGGCTTCACTAGAGAGACCTAGCTCTTTTCTTTGTCATGAAATGATCTCTCCAAGGTCAAAAGGTCTTTGGTAGCTCTTCTCTGATCTTAGCATGGATGCCCTGGAATGCTGAAATTTTTCTTGAGGTCTGTGTGAACTGTAGTAGATGTGTAAATGACTGGATGGTGCCTGAAGAATCTATCACAGTGTTTAGCCTCAAAAAAATGGGTTAATGAGGAAAACTTAAGCTACACTTTTGCTGTTCGGAAGCCATAGTTTTGTTTGTCTTCAAATTGTTCCTGCTGTCTCACTGAGAAACAGCACAATATGTCAATGTTACTTTCTAGAGACAGACTGCATTGCTCAATGCCTCTTATACATGTCATACCATGTGTGAGCCTGTACACATGACCTGACTTCTTTGTTTTCTTATGTATGAAATGAGGGTAGTGAATGTCTGTCAAGTTCCTGCTTCCTCTCTTGGTTTGCCTTCCTTTTGGAGAAGCTGACACAAAAAGATACATGTGGAGGGAAACTGAAGTATCACCTGTGTGAGCATGAGCATGCCTTCTTCCAATGATCCCAGCTTTCTGGCAGCCACAGCCCTAGCTTGCCTCTGACCTGCAGTCTCCTGAGAGACTCCGAGTTAGAATCACATGATTGATTCTGATCTCTAAATTTGTAGAAACTTATTGCAAATGGATCCTGCTCAAGGACACCAAGTGCTGGGGCAATTTGTTAGGCTGCAATATATAACTGATACAGGTGTCCGTGTGCAAAAGGGACTTATGCTCCTCCCAGCAGGGAGCACAGATCTTAACAGAGCTGGGAGATGAATAAGCCAAGCACTCCTGTGTGTGGGGAAGTGAGATGTGGAGTGTGTGTGTGTGTGTGTGTGTGTGTGTGTGTGTATGTGTTATGTGTATGTGTGTGTTTATGTGTATATATGTGTGTGGGGGTGTGTGGGTGTATGTGTGTATATGTGTGTATGTTTATGTGTATGTGTGTGTTTATGTGTATTTATGTGTGTGTGTGTGTATATGTGTATATGTGTGTATGTGTTATGTGGATGTGTGTGTTTATGTGTATATATGTGTGTGGGGGTGTGTGGGTGTATGTGTGTTTTTTTGTGTTTTTGTGGGGGGGGGGGTGTGTGTGTGTATATATGTATATATATATATAGATATATATATATGTGTGTGTGTGTGTGTGTGTGTGTGTATGTGTGTGTGGGTGTATGTGTGTATATGTGTGTATGTGTTATGTGTATGTGTGTGTTTATGTGTATTTATGTGTGTGTGTGTGT